TTTTTTTTTTTTTTTTTTTTTTTTTTTTTTTTTTTTGTTTTATTAAATAGCACAATATTTAATGACTACGGAGCGAACTTAAAAACACGTCCGCACTCTTCGACTGTTCAAATTGAAATTTGCTTAATTTGCTAACTTCGAATTCGTTCCACCAAAATGAGCTACATGATAAAAATACAAGTTCAGTTCAATTTTCGTTATTCGAATTATTAAAAAATTAGAAACCAGAAATCGACAAAAATTAATAAAAAAGTGTAAAAATTTCGTGAAATTATTTAATTTATTTATATTAAAATTCTTTTGTAAAATTTTGTATTACTTTTGAAAGCTGAGTGCATCTTTAACCGTTAATTTTTTCATGATTTAATGATCGGCTCTAAACCAAATTACGAGACGACCCTTAAGGTACCATCTTTCCGGTAAAAAAAATAATTATTGGAATCGGTTCACGCGGTGCAAAGTTATGCGGTGGAATAAATAAAATAAGTAAAAATACTCCGAAGAATTGATAACCTCCCCTTTTTTGAAGCCGGTTAAAAATGTCTGAGTTCTTTATAAATTTTATGTAAATAAAATGCAATTGATGATACTTTAAAAAGTTTATTTATTTATTTCATACTGTAAATAAAACTTACATAAATGTATTTTAAAGAGCGAATTTTCAGTATTTGCTGATGATATATATTTAGAAGTATAAACCCTTTCCCTAAAATATATTCCTGCGTGCGCCCCTGGCACTTAGTATTTATTATTTGCAAAAAATATATTTTTATTTTCTAAATGTTTGTAGTTTCAAACATTTCATGTGTATATTTTAAACAACTCATGTTCAAAATCAAATCTTAAACATCTTGTGCGTATACTTGAGCAGATTCTAGTTGAAAAATAAACACTTTTCAGTAGTAGTTTTGCATGCACTTTTTAGAGTGCGTTTTTTATTAAAAAAAATAAACTTTTCAACTCATTTTAGTAAAGCTCAAAACATAGTATGATGTTGCTTAAGTACTAATGAATCTAAAATTAATTAGCCAAACATATTCGGTTGCTAAAGCAAGAGCCAGACCGATTTAAAGCTGAAAAATACTACGCTGGTAGTCAGGGAGTAAGTAGCAAAATAGTGAATTTTCATAGGATTTTAGTATGAAAACTGGAAACTATAACTACTTATCTAACGTTATAACATAAATCTTATTATTGGAATATCCAAAAAACAAAAACAGAAATTTCAAATACATATGTACGTGAAGGAAAATAAAAACTTAAACCATTTCAAAAAACATCAACTTGTATAGTGTCGGAATAAAGCAAGAAAAGCAATAGAAAAACACAAACATTTTGATATTTATAATTGTTTTTATTTTCCTTAACGTATGTATTTGAAAAAAATATATATATAATTTTTGATATTCCAATAATTAGATTTATATTATAACGTTATATAAGTAGTTATAGGCCCCTATTATGAGTTGCATTCGATTTTCGACTGTGGTCGAAAGTGCTGAGCGAACGAATTTTCATTTGGTATTATGGCGCTTATTCGATGAAGAATAGCGCTATTGTGAATTTCGCCCGTTTAGGTTGTTCACAATAGTATATTTTTCACCGCTGAGAAGCTTTGTTTACAAATCGAGCAAACTAAATAGTGTGCTTATACATATTTATGTAAATTTGTTCTAATTAAAATGAGGTAAAAAAGAAAGCAAGTTTATAAAAACGTAGTAAAATGAGTACAACGAGTTCTGGTTCAACGATTCGTCGGAGGATGAGAGCTAAGTAAACTGGTCAGGAGTAGCAAATGTTTAAGAAAGTTTAAGTTTATTAGTCTTTCGAATATATTTTGATATAAAATATATTTAAGAAATTTGTCTACAGATTCGAAAATCGAATGCAGCTCATAATAAGGGCCAGTTTCCAGTTTTCATACTAAAATCCTATGAAAATTCACTATTTCGCCACAGCGCAATACTTTTCAGCTTTAAATCGGTCTGGCTCTTGCTTTAACAACCGAATTAATGTCTGGCAAATTAATTTTAGATTCATTAGTATTTAAACAACATCATATTAAATTTTGATTTTTTTTAATAAAAAGTGACGTCTGGCACAATGTTAGCAACAACGGACATGTCTGGCAATAATAAATCTACGTTTCTAAAGGCTAGTTAAAGCCGATGAAAAGCAAATTAGCCTTACTAAAATGACTTAAAAAATTAGCATTTTTAACTGTAAATATACGATGCGCACTAGTCAACGCAAACTTTACATACAGTTAGGAGCTAAAAATTTATTCTAAATAAATAAATGTTCTTGATTTTTTCGATGGAGTAAGATAATTTAGATTACCTTATTGACACCATTGTTTGTTGCAATCTCATTTTCTGTTGCCTACAAAGTTGGAAAAGAGTATACCGACTAATTTTAGATTTTATGTTATAATTAAATAAATATTTGGGACCTACATCACCACTTTCATATGCGTTATTCTGCTGTCTTTCCATTTCCTTTTCTGTCATCTGTAAAAAATTAAAAAAATAAATTAAATATAACTAGCATTTTTAAATCATTTCCAATACATATTTGAACTTCATGTTCAATATGTTTGAATAAATTTAACACCCCGAAAAATTTGCTTATTTTTTGGTTCACTTGAATACTTAGGTATAGTGCCGTAAAAAAGGTCCCTTTTTTAAATTAAAAAAACTCTCGATTGATAAATTCGAACCAAAAAGATAAGACTTGCTAAGCGAATGCTCTGTATACCACCTGAGTATGGCTGACTTCCAAAATGTATCAATACAATATTTGGTTACTCCCAATAGACCATATGACTTGAGAATAATATTTTTAAAAGCTTACAAATATAAGAAGAAATGAGAGCCTTTCATCCAAAATATTTTTTAAAACAAAGGGGCCGGTGCACAGTGGTCCAATGTGCAAAGCTAGGGTAATTTAATTACATTTTTGGTTTGTAATTTTTCAATAAATTTTTTATCAAATATGCACGAATATTGTCTACTTAAGAGTAAATACAACTTTGCTTGAAAAAATTTGGCTACATATAAACATAACGGTATCCAAAAGTCATAGTAAGCAATAAGTGAAAAATGAAATTGTGCGTGCAACGAAAACTGAGTATTTTTAAGGCTCAATAACTTGTTTAAAGAGACTTTGTTCTAACTTCATTTCTTTCTCCCTCACTGTAAGAAAATTCAGGAAATGTAAAAATTATTACTGATTATTATTATTGTTATTATTGAGTACCAAATTATTATTATTTTTTGTTTTTGTAGAAGAAACCTTTCTTATATGGCGGAATATAGATCACTTACTATACTTATTCTCTCAATTGATGTATATACTAATAGAATCCACAAAAAAATTCTGCGGCTAGCTGCGGCACCCATACATTTACTTTCAATTTTCAAAATGACTCCTAAAATTTCAAGACAGGAAATTTTTGATTTTTGGCTGTCGACCCCTAAAAATGAAAGACTTGATAGAACAATGAATTTTGTACCAGGGAACATCAGTTTAGGATCTAGTGATAGAATCAAATTTGTTAAATTGAAATCATACGTGCGAAATTAATTTAGAATTTGGACCTAAAGTGGACAAAAGTTTTCCGAAAAAGAGAGCAGATTGTTACTGCAAATAAAGATTGGCTCGAATTTAAAATAAACTTGTCACAATTTGTGTGTTCTAAGTTTGGTAAGCCGACATTTTCTGCTGATAGGCCAACTAAAAGTCTTGAAGATTGTTTCCAAAAAGTTAAAATGCAGAAAGCTAATGAGTGAGCTTTCGAAAGTTACCTAATCAGAAGTATTTATTTTTGGCCACTGAAATAAATATGAGATCTTCAGCTACGCTACTTAATGAGCTTTTATGTGCTTCTCCAGAAAGAGGTACTGCTATGAAGAAGGTCATATTGGCAAAGAAGAGTCCTAAAGGTATTTTGCCTGAAGAAGCTCTCGCACTAATAAGACCGGCACACACAAAAAAAATAGTGTGATGTGCATTTGACCGGACCTACCTATGGTTATATATTTCGACCCGCAGAATCCGAATTTGAATTCAGTTTGGCCAATATACCTCCTAGATTTCGAGAAAACTTCAAAAAACCGTTTTTTATTGCCGATTTTCACTATTTTTAGGTTTTTTTTTTTTTGAAGTTTTCTCGAAATCTAGGAGGTATATTGGCCAAACTGACTTTAAATTCGAATTCTGCGGATTGAAATACATAACCATAGGTAGGTCCGGTCAAATGCACATCACACAAATTTTTTTTGTGTGCCGGTGTATTCGACACAAATTTATCACAGCATCAGTATCGTTTACTTACTGAGGGCCATTTTCTAATGTAAGCAGTAAAGTTGCCTTTACTAACAGGGCAGATAAATTGTTCCTCACTTTAAAGTGTTTTGGTTTTCTTATCTTACCGGTAAAAATAAATTTGTTATTCCGTAGAGTGAAACTTCACTACATTTCTGTGAGTGAAACTTCACTACATTCGTCGTATAATTTCAAAGGTTGGCAATGCAAATATAGAGCAAGGCAACTGTTAGCAAAAACCAAACCCAAACCCAAATTTAATGTTGGGTACACATTTTTAGAGGTTGCATCGGGTGAGCAAGAATTTATCGATTCGAGAAATTAATGCGCTGATGAGAAAACGAAAACTCGTATATCGAGACGATAAAGTGGCCGGCAATCTAAAGGTTAGATGAGAAAACGGCCCCGAGACGATAAAGTGGCCGGTAATCTAAAGGTTAGATGAGGAAACGGCCCTAAAAGTTGTTAAACTTGATCTGACTTTTTAAGAGTTTTTTTTTTATTATATATATATATATGGTGGCTGATTCGGATCCGGCGTCAATACAGTATATACATAACGGACTTTCTATTTTTAATTCATCCTAAATAGTTAAAAAAGTTTTAGGTATGCAGGTATCTATAACCGTGCGCAAGTGCTTAAAAAATGTACCAGAATTTGACGAAAAAGTTAACGATTTTTTAATTATATGGTTGGTAGGCGTGATCGCTATTCGATCTTGCCCATTTTATGAGCAGAAGTTGTTAGTCATTCAGACATAATTTTTGCAAAATTTCATCCCTGCTTAAGTTTTTTATCCAACAAATCGATTTGCATTGGCTGCAGTGAAAATGATTTTTTAGTTTTTATCCATGCTGTGATCAAGGTTCTAACAACCCCAAGGCATACTACGTGCATGTAGTCAAAGGGAAATGATTTCACTATGTCTACTGGCAGCCTTTCAATTGACATGCGGGTATTTGTCGTATGGTGATTTGCATCTTGTCGTGCTCTGACCGCAGAGTGTTATTTTCGAGCTTAAAAATTATGCGCCTGTTTACGTACTCTCCATTTTGTTTGCATTTGTGGCAACAACTGTAACCAGTATGACTTTTGATACCCATAACTAGGGATCTTGCAGGTGCATCACATATAAACAAATAATCGGCAACTCACTTTATAAGTATTGCCTTTGAAAGAAAACTGTTCGTCAATAAGTACAATAAACTCTTCAACAAATGGTGTTAAGAATTCATTAACATCTTTAGGTTTACTATTTCCAGTATAAACTCCCACAGTATATACCAACTTTGTACCTTGCACATTGACGAGGATCGGTGATGCTTGAGCTAATGAACTTTTAGCTATTGGTAGTTCGTCAACATTTATATTTCGTCGTTTGAAGTACAAAACCGCGTATCGTCATTCTGCAAAACCGCGTAACTGACATAGGCTGCCAAAAATTGGATTTGCTCACACAAGCTCTTGGCTCAATCCTTATCCATTCGTCCTGAAATATACTATCCAGATATGTGATTTCTTTATAAAAAAGAGAACCATTTTGAAATATGAGTGTTTTTACTCTCTAAAAAATAATTTATGCAACCTCATATACGCGGTTTTGCATTTTGCTGATACGCGGTTTTGCATTTTGTTGATACGCGGTTTTGCACTTTAAACGACGATTTAATTCAATAGAATCACTCTCGTATGAAGTAGAATAAAAGAAATCGGTTAAGCAGTCTTTCAGTCCATAATCCACATATTCGCCACCTTGAATTAAAGCTATTGGTGCATCTCAAGACATTTTTTCAATGTTCTTGCGTCTTTTGGTAAGGTTGGTTGAAGCTTTCTTAAAATTGTCAAAAGTTCATTTATCGCACAATGAAAAATTGAACTTTAAATACTCCATTCAGCTAATTCATTTCGAATATTATACTGTTCAATAGTTTCGTCACTGAAGTCATCGTTTTCTTCACAACTTGAACTTGAGTATTGAATATCGTTCTCAATTTCACTTTCTTCAATGTCATTATCAACAGCATCAACAATATCATTTGCCGCAATTCCATTATTAATAGCACTAGCACTACAATTTTCTTCTATGTCACTATTTTTCGTTCTTTTATTATAGAGAAGCTCAAAAATTTCTTTTTATTCATTTCTGATGCTTGTTTTGAACTTATTTGGCATTATACACTAGATGAACTTTTGATTATTGTTATTACTTAAATATATGTATATTTTATAATTAATTCGCTGCACTTAGTTAATTAATGCACTCACTTCAAAACTCAACTACTGAATGAAGAACGCCAGGCGAACGTTGACAAAATATCATAAATATAACGGCAAAATAATCGGGTTTTTTCTTCGGATTGAAAAACAATTGTGTAATGCTTGTACATCGTAATAGTAAAATAAAGCTTGTAGGCTTTTTATAATATTGTTCTCAAGTTGTTCGACATAATATTTTTTGACGATTTTCTACACAAAATAAGTGTTTCTCAATTATAGTTATGACCATTTTGATAAGTGTAAGCATTTTTTAAACATACTTACTTTAAAAGAGCTTAATCATAAAATTAATTTCTCAGGCATGTGCAAAATTTGCTTGTGAATTTTCATTTTGACAATCTTTTATAAGTTATATTGAGAAAAGTTTAAAATTCAGTGTTGATGTAAGCTTGTTCTCAAGTACTATTGCAGTCTGCTTCTCAGATGGTCTATTGGGCTGTTATACTGCGGTATTCAAACTGTTTGTATATGCAGAGTTGCGACACATTAGGTTTGTTCCACATGAGCCCGCGGGTACTCGCGGGTGCCCAACCAGAAACCGTTCCTCACGCTAGAAAAATGGGGAATAGAGAGCGAATACGTTCCACTTTTGGATCGTAAATGTCCTCTTCTTTGTGCACGAAGGAGCCCGGACTATTTTTCCGGGCACAAATGTGCAAAAGGGCAATTTGAAATAAAAGCTGTTGTTATTCAAATACGAGAGCAAAAACCCACAAAAACCCCGAAAAATGCAATGGGGCGACCAATAAAAAATCGTTAGTATTAAATAAATAGTTAAATGGTTAAATAGAGAATTATTATTGAAAGTATCCTGAAGAGAACCAGAGTTTTGCGATCGAAAAATATTGAATTTGAAGAATTCTATACCATTTCTACGAAAAATTTTATTTTTCCCATATAAAAA